TGAAGGTGGGGCCTCCATATCGTGCTCATCGATATCCCGGAAGCCGATGGTTTGGGTGACACCATCTGTGAACTCCTCCATGTTATCAACATGTGGGTCAACCCAAAATCATGCTTATAAAATAGCATGCAATGGTTTTTGCAATCATCGATCTTTTGTTTTGGTAGAGCAAGATTTTTAAACTCTTTCTTTGTCTCATAGAAGTTACAGACTAGTTTATCACTTTTGGGTAGCATTCGCTTAAAAATGGGAAGCACTCGGTTATATGTCGTCTCGGGTACATTACATTATGGCTTCCAATGCAACAAACTCGTCATAACTCCTAATTTCTAAAAGGTTTGACACCCATCCCATAAAGGTTTGTCAACAGCTTGTAACATGTTATAAAATCCTTGGACAGAAGGATTAGGTGTTTTCTCTTCCCATGTCATATCATCGTGTCATGTGATCGTTCATCATTTGGAAATAGTCTTCATTATAATCCAAAAATAGGATTAGAAGATTGAACCATGTCTTAATGAGATGCATGGCAATAGGTTTCACCATGTCTCCACCAAATGGTATAATCAGGAATGAGACCATATTGCATCAAGTACAGTTTCACGTCTTCCTTTTCTCTATAGGCTTTGTTTTGACACTTGGAGCAAGGGCGTCTGATTTGAAACACTATCCTATCGTGTGTAGTTTCCCTTTTAACATAATCTTCATTGGCAATATTAAAAATAACCTTCCAAGTGTCTGATAGAGGCCCTACTAAGGCTTCCTGATCGTCATTCAATTTATACATCCATTCTCTATTTGTCGACATATTCAATAACTACAACAAAAAAGTAGTAATTAGCCGAAATAATCAAGGTGGAAGTGTTGTAGACCAATTTGAGTGACTTGAAAAACCTACATGTAATGGGTTGACTACTTAAAAGTCAAATCGTAGGGTTAGAGGAGTTCTGGATGACTTTAAAACTCTAAATGTACTGGTTTAACTATTTGAAAGTCAAATCGTAGGTGTGAATGAAGTTTGAGGTCTTTTGAACGCGTTGTAATTCCTACGTGTAATTGTTTGACTACTTGAAAGTCAAACTGTAGGTTTAGAGGAGTTTTGAATGACTTTAAAACTCTAAGTGTATTGGTTGGACTACTTGAAAGTTAAATCGTAGGTGTGAATGAAGTTGGAAGTTTTTTGAACAAGTTGAAAAGCCTATGTATAATGGTTGGACTACTTGAAAGTCAAACCATAGGTTTAGAGGAGTTTTGGATGACTTTAAAACTCTAAGTGTATTGGTTTGACAATTTGAAAGTCAAACCATATGTTTGAATGAAGTTAGAGGTCTTTTGAATGACTTGAACATGTAATGGTTTGACTACTTGAAAGTTAAGCCATAGGTGTGAATGAAGTTGGAGGTCTTCTGAATGAGTTTAAAAGCCTACATGTAATGGTTTGAATATTTGAAAGTCAAGTTGTAGGTTTAGAGGAGATTTGGATTACTTTAAAACTCGTTGCATATAATGGTTTGATTACTTGAAGGTCAAACCATAGTGTGAATTAGGTTGGAAGTCTTTTGAACGAGTTGAGAAGCCTATGTGTGATGGTTTGATTATTTTAAAACTCAAACCATAGGTTTAAATCAAATAGAGGTGTTTTGAAATGAAATGAATGAGTTTAAAATACAAAGTATGTTTTTAAAACCTTGGCAACATAATGACTATAAAATGAATATTTCCTAATCAGATCAAGCCTATTGTTTGTCCATCAATTGGCAACTCAACTACAAATAAATATAATCAAGCCTAATGTTTGCCCAACAATTGACAATCCAACTAACTAACAAAGTAGAAATTTCTAGTAATAGCAATAAACATAACCAAAGTATATGTAAAATTTAACAAACAAACAAAGAACAAAATTTAACTAACTTTTATGATTTAAAGAACAAACAAAGTTTTACGATATAACAAGTTTCTAAAGAACAACTTCTAAAACACAAACATATAAACTTTTATGATTTGTTTAACCACAAAAGTATATGTAAAATTTAACAAACATATATAGAGCAAAATTTAATAAACTTATATAGAGTAAAATTTCACATTTTTTCAACATAACCCTAATGTTTGCCCAACAATTGGCAACATAAATTAACAATATTTAAAACAAAACCTAATATTGACAAACATTTATATACATAAACACACTTATATACATACAAAAAAACATGTATATACATACAAATACACACACACACATATATATATATACACACATACATACACAAAACACATATGTACACATAAATACCCTTGAGATTTGCAAGGGTTAGAGGTTGGGAATGAAACCGGTTCACAAGGTTGGTGGTTGTGGCCGAAGAACAGCAGCGATGGTGAGTAGTGGTGGTGGGCCGCCCGCAGTGGTGGTGGTACTGACAGTCGTGGGAGCAAGGCTGATGGTCACCAACAGTTGTGGGAACAGAGGTAGTGATTGCGGCAGGTGGGAGGTGGTGGTGGTGGCCGCTGACAGATGGCAGGTGGTGGTGGTCGCGGGTTCTCAGCAGGCATGTTTCTCTCGTTCTCCTCCTCGCTCTCATTCTCTCTCTCTCTCTTCAAAATAACCGAACATGGCATATGGGACTAGGCTTGTTAGCCGACCTTTACCAGGTTAAAAAAAAGGACGAATTTCCAAGGGGAATTTCCGTCGCTAAATTTAAAATTTTAAAAATTAATTTTATTTATTTATTAAATTACTTTTTTAATTAATATAATTATATATCTGATTAATTATTAATTTATTTATTATTTATCAATATATTAAAAAATTAATTAATAAAATAAAAAACGGACTAAAACCCAATAAAACCGAATAAATCTCATTAAAACCAATAAAACGGATTAAACCTCAATATAACCTATTAAAACCAAATAAAACTGAATAAAGCCCCAATAAAACCGAATAAAATTCAATTAAACGGATTAAGGCCCAATAAAACAGAAGAATGCCCAATAAAACCAAACAATGCCCAATGAAATGGATTGAGATCCAATAAAATCGAATAAAGCCCAATAAAAATGAATAAAGTCTAATAAAACCGAATAAAATTCATTAAAACCCTATAAAAACCAAATAAAATCCAATAAAACGGATTAAACCTAATATAATTCAATAAAACCGAATGAGGCCCATTAAGCTCCAATAAAATAGATTAAGGCCCAATAAAACCGAATAAAGTGTGTTAAAGCCCCAATGAAACTCTTTATGGCCGATAAAAACGAATAAAACTCCATAAAGTTGAATAAAGCCCAATGAAACCCTTTATAGCTGAATAAAACTCAATAGATCCATAACAGTCAGCTAAGATTCATTAAAGCCTAATATAACACATTAAAACCCAACAAAACCGAATAAAGCCCAATAGAACATATTAAAGCCCAATAAAACCCATTAAGACCCAATTGATCCATTGAAGTCCACTAAGACTATGTATGTGATGTCTATTAGGCTCGATATGACTACTAAGACTCTTTATGACTAATCAAGGCCAATAACAACAATGGTGACTTGCTATCTATTTGTATATAAGTGGCTACCAAACAACACAAAAATACACATAATTATCAATATATGCATTCACATATACACATGTATACATACATACATATATATATATATATATATATATATATATATACACAACACATATTGTAAAACCCAAATTTTAAATATAAATAATTTTGTATGAGCCTTTAAATATTTTTTTTTATTAAATTTATTTGAATTGTTAAAATATTTATGTAATTAATTAAAATAAATAATTGTCAAAATCTTAAATAAAAATAATAATGAAAAGAAACGCAAAAGGGAAAATAAAATAAAATTGGTTTTTTTATTTTATTCGACCAAAAATGAAAATTATCACGTCAGAAGGGGTCCGATTATAAATGTCAGAAAGTTCAGGAGAGCGAATGTCATATTTTTCAAAGACGAGGGACTTGTTTTGCCAAAAGTACATGTCTATTTGTAAAAAACTACCTCACAGCCTAAAACTCATGATTTGGCCGATTTCTTCAACTAATAAGCCAAAATTGTTCGCATATAAATTGTAGAAAACTGGCTTAGGATCATTTTCATTCAAATACCTAGTAAATTCATTGAGTTTTGGGAGAGAAATCAGAGTTTGAAGTTCGGAATCAAAAATTTCGGTTTTTCACCAATTTTTGGGTCAGATTCTTAACCAAATCTCTTGATTTTTATGTCTATGACTTTGGTTTAAATACTCTATCAAATCTCAGTAGCCCCATGTCTCATATTCATGTTTACATAGTTCGATTTTTATGTTTTGAAGTTATTGAGTTTTAGTTTTAAAAACAAAGCTTTAAATCAGGTCGGGTCGAGGTCGGGTCGGGTCGAGGATCTGACCCGCATCTGTTTACCCAATAAAAATCGATGGTGATGAATGTAAGATTCGGACCCTTGACCTGAACCATCTAAAGCAAAAGCACTAATCATTTGATCTAGCTAGGTTGTTACTTGTGTTTTTTTTCATCAGTAATTTATTTATTAAGTTCTTTTGTCTACTTTTTTTAAATCTAATGGATCGGGGGGGAACACAAACTCTCCAACCGTAGGGTCCAAACCTAATATATTATATATTTCAAAGGTACCAAAAATACATTGTCCAAAGTTATAACATAGTAAAACTCTAAAACTAGACGTTAAATATAAACATGTCAAACATCGCTAATCAAAATGGAATCCGTCGATCTTTCGCGACCTTGAAGTCTTCCACAATTTCTTCCAAACTAATCTTTTCAGCTACTTCCCTTTTGATAAACAAAAGTAACGAGTCATTTAGATACTCATCATCCATTTTATTTTGTATTCTTGTTTTCACAATATTCATTGCTGAAAATGATCTCTCGATTGTCGTGGTAGAAACTGGGAGAGTAAGTAATAGACTTATTAATCGATAAATAAGATCAAAAGTGGTTTCTATTATAGTCCTTACCAACTATTGACCCAATTCTACAATAGATGTCAATTGCTTATAATCTATATGTTGAACGATATCAATAGCATAATGTTGAAGTTGCATTTTCAGAATTGTTTTCTCATGATCACTGAAATCTTCAGGATAAAACTTCTCTACTAGTTGTCGTACATCAAGACTTCTAAAAGTCTCATACGCATTTTTAGGTTCTAGAATTGAAGCAAGACAAAGCATCTCCATGGAACCATCACTGAAACGATGATGTAATTCCATTAATTGACAATTATGTGCTTCATAAAAGATATCCACTCGGTAATGATGCTTAAGTGTATGATCACTATGCTCATTACGAGCTCGATTCCCTCTGCTAAAGTAGGAAGAAGACAAGTCAGGAATATCTATGCTACATACCTGACAAGAAAACAAGTCGAGAAGAAGACAAGTTAGGAAGATTTACTTGATAACGATGTTCGAGTGTATGATCATTATGTTATGTACCTGAAAAAATGACTTAAAAAGGCAAAGCAAAGCATCCCAGCTTTCATCCTTCATTATTTGCAATAATAATTTGGTAGATGCAACTAACCTCAATGAGTTAAAAATATCTTGATCTTTCCTTTGTAAAGCTTGACAAAGTAAATCAGTGATCTCCATTATTTCTCTTTCGAGATGCAAGACAAATATGAACTCAAATGTCGTCATAGCCTCATATGCCGAATCTGCATCTCCTTTGATTGGCCCAGTTCCTTCCTCAAAAAATTTAAGCAAAACCTCACAAGTTGGACTGAACATCTTGATTAGGCTAGAAACCGATCTGAGATGAGAACTCCATCTAGTATCTCCAGCTCGTTGTAATGTACCAATTTGATTAAAACCTCTGCCGGTCTCCAATTCATCAACAGAAATCAAGTATGCAATTTGCTCGACTTGTGCATCTCGTAGTTGGTTGGTGCGTTTGGAGGAAGCACTAACAACATTGACAATAAAAGACAACGTTGTAAAAAACTTGCGTAGTGCTACAACTCCTTGAGAGGCAGCCATTAATGCCAATTGCAACCGATGARCAAGACAGTGAACATAATATGCATATTTACAATATTCTAAAATCAAGGCTTGCAAACCTTTGAACTGACCTCGCATATTGCTTTGCACCATCATACCCTTGTCCACGAATAGACTTGACATCAAGGTTGTAATGTGACAACAGATAATAGATTTTGTCCTTAAACGTTTGTGTTGTAGTGTCACGTACATGAACAAGTCCAAAAAAAGGCACTATAATGAAGCCCTCTTTATTGACAAATCTCAAAACAAGAGACATTTGCTCCTTATGAGACTCATCTTGTGCTTCGTCAACAAGTAAACAAAACCTTCGACAACCAATCTCCTCACAAATCAATTGTCTCACCTTATTTGATATAAGATTCAAAATTTTCTTTCGAATAAGCGATGATGTATATGATGCATATATGGGAGGATGACAAAATAACTCTTTAAGCTCGGTGCTAAACTCACTAAGTGCCTCCAATATATCAAGAAAATTCCCTCTGTTAATGGAATCTGACTTTTCGTTGTGGCCTCTAAATGCAACTGCTTGAAAGGCACACCAACTGACGCAATAAATAGAAGTCGTCAATCTCAATCTGTTTTTCTCACGATCGTCAGTTGTGAACTTACTCAAATACATGTCGTATATCATGTGCCTCATTAAATAAATGATCCCATCCCTTTTGTGCAACATTGTATAAAGATGTACATTCGGTTCTCATATGCATCAAGAAGCCACATTTTTTCCCACCCACCTTTTTCCAATTTCGAAACCCATATATGGTAAATGCTTGTTGACCGTAGTATCCGAGCCCAAATGGCTTGTTAAATTAAAAACAAGGGAAACAAAATGTTGCATCCAAGGTCTTTGAATATTCAATCCAGGGATGTAACTTATACCAAGAAGCTTGAAAGCTACGTTTATGAGTTTCTGGTCCAGATTTCGGAAACATAGAAAGTCTAGGTTGAAGAGGACCAAGATTCATCTAAGCTCATCGAATTGTATCTTGTTGATTGATAAGATAGTCATAAACTTGATGACGCAAAGCAGGGTCTCGTTCTAGTGTACCCAGATCAATATCATTACTTTCTATTTGAGCTTTTTTGCGAAGGTTTTCAATAGGCAAAATACTAGATGCAGGGGTATTATCTACATTTGTTGTTTCTTCGGGATCTTGAGAAGAAGAACTAGCATGCTTTCTTTTAAAAACCACATGAATGGTAGATTGAGTTTTCATCTTCATCTACATGTGGAACATATTTAACAGTTTTAATTTTAATACTTGCAGTAGGTAGCAAAAATGGTATGGATTTTGGGGTTTTGTCCTAAATTTGAAGTCCACAAAGTTTGGACAGCAGGACACGTAATATAAACAAGAATTGTAGGGTTTTGTCCTTAAAAGATTGAATGGAGACATCACAGAGATCATACCATAAGCCACTGTCCACAATTACCCTTGAAGAACACATAAAGATGTATGTATTAATGTATAAAGGCTCAAGTAATAAAATGCAGTCCACTCATTTAAAACACATAAACCCTTGAATTTGAAGATCACATAAACAGTTTAAAACTCATCAAATCAAGGCTCAAGTAATAAAATTTTAAACCCAATCTATCAAAATATCAAACAAATTTAGACCTAAATCACCTAATCATAAATCATTAAGCAAACAAATTTAGACAATTAGAATTTATATACATACAGTATATGGTTGTGTCACAAGTTAAAGAATAAAGATGCAGTTGCACAGGTTAAAGAATAAAGATGTTGCAGCAGTTCAGCAATTGCTATGGAGAATCGGAGAGAATAGAAGGACTTACCATCGATCGGTCGACGTCGAGAGCACTGCCAGAGGACTGGATCAAACCGTTGGTGCCCCGCCGGTCTGTCGTTGGAGCCTGGAGGACTGCTACTGGATGGCTGGAGAACTTATTGTCGATGTCGTCGCGTCGAGAGCACTGCCACTGCCACTGGAGCTGGAGGACTGGATCAAGTGGAGGGGCCGCCAAATTTTGTTTATACTTAAAAGCCTTTGGACCGATCAATATACTCCTATTTAGTACAAAAAGCATAGGGGCCAAGGCCCCTAAAGGCCCAACAGGTCCCTAGCCCCTGCTAATGGAGGAGTTATGAGAGGTTTAAACCTCATATCTATGGCTTATAAGATGCTTTTGCATATGAGTCTAAGAGTTCTTTTGTTATTTAAACATATAAGATTTTTATTTATCTTGTTATTAGACATTTAAGTTTTAACAATTTAAGTATAGTCTTGAGAGTTCAGAAAACATGATTTCGACCATACTAACATTCTAGAGATTTCATTAAGTTTTCATGGGAATTATAAAATGAATATTTTACCCAATTTCAGTTATTTCTCTTTATAAAATTATCAAAATAACCCTATATTTGGAAATCGGTATTTTAGCAATAATTTATGTATTTGTTGTATAAAATTACCGAAATGATCCAATATCTTGGGAAATGGTATCTAAGTTTTTGTTTTGAATATAATCCTAATGAAATTACCAAAATAACCCTATAATTTGGAAATTGGTATTTTAGCGATACTTTACGTATTTGTTTTATAAATTACCGAAATGACCCTATGTCTTGGGATTGGTATCTAAGTTTTTGTTTTGAATATAATACTTATGAAATTACCAAAATAACCCTACAATTTGGAAATCGGTATTTTAGCGATACTTTACGTATTGGCTTTATAAATTACCGAAATGACCCTATGTCTTGGGAATTGGTATCTAAGTTTTTGTTTTGAATATAATCCTTATGAAATTACCAAAAATGACCCTACAATTTGGAAATTAGTGTTTTAGCAATACTTTACGTATTTGCTTTATAAATTACCGAAATGACTCTATGTCTTGGGAATTGGTATCTAATTTTTATTTTGAATATAATCCTTATAAAATCACCAAAATGACCCTACAATTTGAAAATCGGTATTTTAGCGATACTTTACATATTTGCATTATAAATTACCGAAATGACCCTATCTCTAAGGAATTTGTATTTAAGCTTTATTTTGATTATTATATTTATGAAATAACCAAAATGACCTCACAATTATGGGATCGGTATTTTAGCAATACTTTAAGTATTTGCGTTATGAAATTACCAAAATGCCCCTACGCTTTGATATTGGACTTTTTAAGCACAATTTAAATATTCAACTTCTGAAAGATACCAAGAATGTTCTAAATTAGGGAATTGGTTAAAGCTATAACTTTGGTATTCGGCTTCTTAAGATTTACCGAAAAGCCCTTAGACTTGAAAAAATGGTATTTTAAACATTATTTTGAGTATTTAATTATGTTGAACTTTAAAGATATGGCATGATCATTATTTATATATGTGTGACATGTTGTCACTATTATGCACTTGTAAATTTTAAAAGAGACTTTTTGGGCATAAAACATTATATACGTTGCAAACTATTAGTTATTTTGTTAAAATACTTATTGTTCAAGAAAATGTGAAGTGTATTACACATCTTTATAAAATATAAGAGCGACAATTAATATTATAACGACGTCATATTATTAATAATATTTCCAGAAAATATTTGAACGAAATATGAGATATGATGGTATCGGGGGTTGATCAATAAAAAATGTTAATATTAGTCGTGCTAAGATTCTTGGAGAATAATGATCAATTTAGTTACGATCATCTAAGTTGCTTAGGAATGGTATGAATTATCATGTAGATTGCGATTTTCGAGAAAAACAACCTTTCGAATGCTAACGATTCAAGGTGAGTACATTATGCAATTTTTATGTAATATATACATGATTATTACAAAGTACTTTATCCATGATATTTGCATGATATGTTTATATGAATATGATGATAACTTGATTGTATTGATTTACGTGATATTCAAGTATATGTGTGATATGAAAGATGATGTTGATGAGAAAGATGATGATGACTTGATATTATTAATATGTTATTCAAGTATGTGTATAATGTGAAAGATGACGATGATGCATATGTGATTTATGTGTCACTTGCATGAGATGTATGTTGCATGTCACGATGAGATTTGCTTTAATGAGTGAGTATTGCTAATAAATGATATGCAACTAGTATGATTCGGCAAGATTCTTTCACCGTACGGGGTGGGTTGGATATGAAAAGAGGGCTTGCAATTCTGAGGTCTTGGAGTCCTCGTCCATAGAATACGCCACATATGCAAAGAAATGTGACGAGCCAAGGCCTCACTTGCAAGATAATAACTAAAATACATTAAAACATTGTTTATATGTGCATGTGAACATGAAATCATATTATATTCACTAAACTTTTAGCTTATACTATACATGTATATATCTCATGTGCCAATTGTCATTAGACGAGTTGAATGAAGAAAGATGGGACTATGTTTTGAATCACACTCGATTAGATATTTTAATTAGCATTGATTACGTTAAAGTATTTTATGCTTCCGTAATTATGTAATGAATTATGTTAAATACATTATGTAAGTTCAAAATTTTTAAGTTCGCATTTTGTTCATGGCATAAGTTATTAAGAATGACGTCATGGCACTCAAAAGAAAAAAAATGGAGCGTGACACATATAAACATACATGTTTATATACATATATAGGAAAAACATATACACATCATATGCGGTTACCAAATAAGAGACACACACACATTATCTATACATTCAAATTTACACATGCATATAAACATATATACAACATATATACATGTACCTGCAACAATATATACATAGATTCAATCAAGGTTCCCAACCAACACACAAACACATCATGCATACATATGTATAACATACACATACACATTTGCACATATAACACATACAAATGAAAAAATAAGAAAAATAGGCTAATTCCTCACCAATCTCTTGCTAATTAGGGTCGGATTAGCGAGGGATAGGCTAGAATGTGTTTAGCGACAAAATGTGATTGTGGTATTTTCATCACTAATCAGCAACGACAGGACACAAACCCAATTTGTTGCTACCCCTTACTAAATATCAAAGCATTAGCAAAGGATGGGGTTTCTCGCCTATCTGTCGCTAATCCTCCACTAATTAGCGACGAATTAGTTCCATCACTAAAAACCGTTGTTAATACTCAATTTTCTAGCAGTGGATGTGTGTGATTTGACATAACGACTTGATGATGCGAAGAATCTCAAAAAGCCGTCGTCGGTGTTGCTCGATTACACTCCCGATGAGGAGGGTCGCACTCCTCGGCGCGTAAGGACCTACCCGAGCACCCCCCCCCCACGTGATCTGAATTCCTTGTGATGAAGATTTATACGTTAACTTAAAACGATTTTGAAAATCTGGTAAGTTTAATTTTCTCGCTAAATAATTGATCAAATAGGAAAATGTCAAGTGTGTTGGCAACAACGCGATCCCTTTTTGAGTTTCTTGAATATAATCAACTACCCCGTTAACTAACTGCCACGAGCCTCCACAAAAAACACGTACCATAACTTCTCAGTGGGCGTTAAGATTGATTCTTGAGTAGAAGATCATTTTTTTCTATGTAAAAATCGGAGTATAATATATTAGTTATGGCAAATGAAAATCATATATATGTGTGTGTAAAGGGTTTGAAGTAAAAAAAATTCAA